CTATCACATTTTATACAATACCTTTATAAATAAATTAAAGTTTGCAAGATGTATGAGCAAAAAGATTGAAAAAAAGTCCTTAATATTTAAAGAACATAGTGCATACTGTTGATCAAACTAGGAAGACAGAAGCACATACTTTTGATAACCTGTATTTGGTTATTAGTACTCACTCACTGTATACTGCCATTTCTGATTCATAGTTTGGTGGACAGAGTAAACATACAACTGCTTTCAGGAATGTCAACTGTGGAAAAACTGAGTTTGTCTGCCAATATGGCACAGCCATTGTTTTACTAAAGAGGCTCTTTTCACAACACTCAGTTGTAGACCCTGTACTGTCTCCAACAACCGCATTAAAGGAAATAAGGTAATAGCTGGAGATAGTTTTCACTGGGGGATTTTAACAGTCTTGACAATTTGGTTTGAGGTGGAGGGGAGCTATGACGTGGAATAGAGCTGCATAATGTTCACTTTTTATATTTTTGCTTGACTCGTATAGTTTTTAATGAAGCACAATCACATGAGCTAATGGTCACAAAGGGCTATATCAAGACTATGCTGCATCTATTTCAATTGGGGTCATTAGCTCTGTTACAGAGGTGAGGAGCAGAAAGAAGGATCTGCAGTTTGAAAAACAGTAAGTGGACTTCATAAAGATGACATGGATAACAACAGAGCAAGGAGGAAGAGAAGAGGGGGTGACTGTGTTTTCCTCACCAAACCTGATGACCCATACAGTGTATTTCCATATTCATTTTACTGTATGATACTATATCCAAACCAACAAGTTCCTCTAGTAAGGTTAATCTTAGTAAAAACAACATTTTCAGAATATGGACTCAATGGCTTATGATTCATATGGCATGACCACAACAGTCCAAATCTGACACAGAACCTTTGCTGTGTGTAATCATTTTTTAATAATCTGAATATAATGCAAAAATCACTCCGTTTACTACTAGATTTTATAGAGCCAATTTACTTATTGTAGGTGAGAATGAGTAAATGTGTAATGTGCAATTCAATCGCAACACTCATTTACATTTGCCTAATACAGTACGTCAGTACCTAGTAATGTACAAAGAGTCTGCAAAAGATCATACCATATCTACCACTTCCATGTTCCCCTGTGGAGAACACCAACTCTCAAGTTATTCTTGCTAGAGTACCTACAGCCTTTAAAAACAGCTTCACCAAAAATACCTCCAGCCAACCAGCTCCTGTTCCACTTTCTGCCACTTCCACTAACCACTAAAAACAGTAGGGTCCCTCATGAGTCACTGCATATTTTATGAAGCCAGAGTTACCACTCTTAATGGCATCAGACGCTATGACGTATATTCTAGACCAACAGTATGGCACTGTGCTTGCAGATCATGGTGTAAAATTGGCCAGAGACCTGGAAGGTGGCAGACTGTAGGCGACTTTCCCCAATATACAGAAATACAGGTGAATAGATTTAAATTTAATTTTTAATAATTGGTTTCCTGTGCATCAGGCCACAAAATATGATACACCAACCTTAGTAATTGAGAACTAATTGTTATGCCATCCCCCTCTACCTTAAAACCTAGAGATTTTGTGCAGCATGAGTTGTCATCTAATTAGCCCCACATGCCTGTTTTACAACAATGTACTAGCCACACTAATTAGGATAATTTGTCACTGTGAATGGAGGTTTAACATTTGTGGATGAACTTCAGGCCCAGTAATATACCTGCGGCTGACTATTTCAAAGATAAACAGCAACCTGATGCCTTTTTAACAACTAAGCTGAGAGGAAACAACAATTTTCTGTGAATCATGTTCATGCTTTTGGTATTGATTCAAAAGAAAAAAATGTGATAGCAAATATGGCAATGTCTTCATATAAACATGGATGTCTCACTTAGGCACAGCAGATTTTGCAACAATTTCTGACTGCACAAAAAAGGAGTTAGTGAATGTCTGGGCTTTAGCCCAAACATTCTTTAAAGCCTTTCTCAACTTCTCTTTGTCAAACAAATAAACCTGAAGTGGCAGCATTGGAGTGTGCTACCACCTTACTTCCAGAGTGCTCCGAGTACTCTCCCTATCCTTGCCCTTAGCTTCATCATATAAGACCTAATAAAAGCAAACCTCTTCTTCTGCCACATCAAAGCAAGGCTAACCTGCTGTGGCCCTGATTCTTTACCAGTGTCCCTGTATCAGTTTCAAAAGCAACCACACAGGGCAATTTAATAAGAGATGGACAGTTAATGTCTTCCACCTAGGCTCAGCAATCCATCCAATCAGCCAGTTCTGCTGTGAAACCAGACCTCTGCTTTGCATCATGGAGCCAGTCATTGGACAAGCTGAACAATGGCTTCACAACATGCCTGGCTCAACCAAAAACATCTATTAAAGGGACAAAAAAGAACCACAAAAAACATCTGCTGCAATTGAAATGCTTTCTCTCTTGGCAAATGATATCAGCAGCAGAAAATCCATGCTCTAACCCAGACATTTCCTAATAAAGGCCCCACTTCGTGTAATTAATAAGAAGCACCCAAGCAGAGCAGGCTGTGGCTGAGAATATCAAGGAATATTGATTAGACCTAAAAGAAGAAAATTCATGTAGCATGAGAGTTCTGTTGTCTCCTGCTTTAACTTCTAAAACCTGAACATGTGTGATGTAATGTGAGATCAAAGAAAATGAAAGATCAGACTCACAGGAGTATACATTTTTAATGCGGTGTGTGGACATCAACCAAACTAGGATGGGGAAGCTCTGTTTGCATTTCCATTTGATCGACTATGACATGTTTACCACTTATTGGGTTTTGAAACAATGGTCTATTATCACTATCATGTGGAGCTGGACTACACATGTGGTACCCTTATACTGTTCTGGAATCAACCTGATAACTCATCCTTAACGTAAACGTAGTCTGGCTCACATGGAATGCATAAATCATGGCTTTGAATGAAAGCTGAACTTTCATCCTGTTAAACTACTGATACTCTACCAAGCAGTTAAAAGCAGGACATGTTATTGTAGCTAGCTTTGGTAAAAATAAGAAAAAGAACTTCTTTCTTCTAGGTGACCTTAAATCAAAGTCTGCCATAAGATGCAGCACAATGAATAATTTATTTCTAAGTGCATGGGTTACATTTCGAATGTCAATCAAATCTCAGAAGGCTTAGATCCCAATGTGCAGCTTTGCTGAAGAAGATTATGAGTTGTTGAGTAAGAATACAGTATGCACTGTGATGACAATGGCAAATGTTCTACATGTGATATAGATTACACAGGGTCATGAATGTTAAAGCCTGCAGCTTTTAAGTTACATTTAATGTTTTTAATGTAATGTTTTATCTATATATGCAGTTTTTAATGTTGTATCAATGTGTTAAGCACTATGAATTGCCCTTGTGTATGAAAATGTGCTATATATATATGATAAATGGTGAAAAAATTTTGAGCCTCAATGCAGCATTTTTTCCAGGTCTTACAGGTTGTACCTGTTATGTGTGCACGCGCTCAGTCTCGACAGTTAATACGGTACAATAAAAGCAACACATGGATACCAATCTCGGTAGTTCAGTTAGGCTAATATTTCACCTTTGAGGCTGAGTGTGTTTAGACTGACAAGCAGTGGTGGAATGAGTGCCAGATTAGAGTTTGGCCTTAGTGAACAACATACAGCAAGTTAACAAGGTACAATGCAGGACCAACCTTGAATAATGGCTCCATTTTGGATTCATCACACAAAAACCATTACTGAGAAATATGACAAACTGTATTGAGTGAGAGTGTTTCAAAACACAACAGGCCACTCTGTCACTCCCTTTGGTGGTTTCTACTATATGCTCATTTGCTGCCTGAAGTGTTTGACTTATTTTTCTTATTCTTTTACTACTACTAACTACTAACTACTACTACTACTACTACTCTGGTAGGAAGATGGCAGACCAGCTAGCAGCATACAGTCTACTATTAAAACTAAAATCTCCCAAAGTGTAGTTTTTTGAACTCAGTCCGTCCCAGTCTTATTCAGTGGAGAGGCCTGTCGTTCCCAGCTGAACCAGAAGAAAAACAGGCAAATTGTTAAAAGTCGGTGTTAAATGTCAGAGAGATAAATGGAAAGAGTCACCCAGGTCAACAGGAGGTGTATCAGATAAAAATAAGGATAATGGTGCAGAATTACAGACACTCTCAACAGGAAGGCATTCGCAGTGTTGTACTCAGCTGCTCACATTAAAAGTGACAGAAATACAGTAGCTGTGTAATGACTGAAAAAAGAGCTATAGAAACAAGTTCAAACCCAGTTGACATTTTTACACTGTCAAGAAGATGTGAATATCAGCTTGTAGGCTACAGACATGGTGAGAGACAGAGCTGAGTATACTGGCCCCTTAAGGGTTAAGGCTGCTGATATTTAATACTTTCCTTACTGTCAACAAATTCTGTGAAAAGACCTACAATGTTTCATTTTCCCAACACGTACTACCTGTGTAGCCAAAGCCTGATGCATCTTATTCCTCTGCCACAGAGCTCTACTGTTGTCCATCACCTACTGACAAGGCTCTAGGGCCATGCTAGCATCTCTGTGAGGCTGCAGTACCCACAGTGGTGCTTTGAGCTACAAACCAACATCAGCATACTAAAATGATCGCAATGTCAATACTAATGTGCTAAAGTTACATCAGTATAAACTGCATCATTAACATACATACTGAAATTTGCTATTTATAACTAAACACAAAGTACAGTTGAGTACAGCTATTGCCATTTGTACTGCACAGTTTAAGAAAGTCTGGACAGCTAAGTACACTTTATACAAGGTGAAGAATGTATTGGTTCTGTTCACATGTATATTTTCCTAGAACTCAGTTTCTAGACACTGTTTATCCCCTTAAGTTATATCTTTGACTACAGATACTACAAATTGTGAATTTCCTTTCTCTCAAATTTGTCATAATACCTTTCCACTCTTAAATGAAACATTCACACACTGGATGTGTTCATATATTACCTGGGCAATGTTCTTGTTGAGCAAGTAGACCCCATAGTCAAAATGAAACCTCTCTCCTCTGGTGTACAAAGGGAATCTGTGACAGACAGAAAAAAAGGGAAAAATCAGCATTAGACAGAAACGGGTCATTTCCTCCATTAACCAGAGTCTGAAACCAAGTGTAAAGACCCTCTAAACAAACACTCAAGACAACTAAGCATAGTCAATTTTACAGTGGCATTATATCCACACTGCATATTACAATATACTTTAGGCCTCTCATGTGAAAATCTTAACAGGGGGTTCCATGTTTGATAATGTTTCTTTTGAGGGATTCAAACAACCAATGCTTTTAACGACACAACAGTCAGTGAATTCTTCTCATTGTTGAAAGTGCTCCTTCATGTAGCCAGCAGCATTTCCAAAGGGTGACATTTGCAGATGGTTGGAGAAGCTGGGTCTGGGTCTACGATCCCATCCCACAGACACCACCTTCATACCTCGTTAAACTGAAATATCAAACAGGAGCAGAGGCGTCCATTCGCCTCTCAGTAGGAACAAACAGAGCTTCCCCTTTCAGCATGCTGGGAAAGTCCCAGTCAGATGTCTTAGTTAGGACTATGGATGGAGTGCTCACAGATGGGGGAGACAGCCTGGTTGTTGGGATAGGGATAACGAAGGGGAGTGTGCTGATGCTCTGAAGGGGGTTTTCCATTATAGGAACCTACAGAAATGTGTAGAGCAGAGTAACACTTGTCATGGGTTCTGTTTTTGTTTCCGCTTTGGAGGTGCGTTCTGGGAGCTACATTTTAGCACCCTTCAGGAGGTAGTACTAAAATCAAGCTCCAAGAAAGTGAGGTGGGGAGGGGGTGCTTGAGCACCGAGCAGTCGCCAGTGATTGGTTAAATCATTGGTTAAGTCTGTGTTCTGCTTGGTCAACAACTGTTTGAATTAGTGCTCATTCAGTCTCTGTTACTGACTGATTGTTGGACTATGGAGTGATGCCTGTTCTCCCTGTGCTCAGCTGACTGCGTGTGTGAGAAGGCAGCCCCTCCCTCCTCTAAAGGGACCCTACACAGAGAAAATACAGTGGAAAAACAAAGCAGGACACTCTGTGTCAACCTGGGAGGTTATATGGGCAGAAGTACAGGGTATACCGCTCGGTAGGTTCTGATAGTGGAAACACAGCAAGACAGGGAAAATTCTCCCTGCTACCAGAACTTAAGGCTGGACGCATGCCTTCCTATATCATCACATGCTTATGTCCGATGATCTCCCACTATGGAGGATACAGTATACTGGGAATCCAGCTTTACAGACTGAGCAGGGCTTTGGTCTGACACAACACACACTAGTTTGCATCAACATACTTGTTGTGACCTTTGTTATCTAAACTCCATCTCTAAATGCTTTAACCTTCTGCGTAACCTAAACCTAATCCCACTCTTAACCTCTCACCCACACACTAAAATGGTACTTCAAAAAAGAAGGGAAAAAGGAGTGAGAGGAGTTTCACTGGGTATTTCTGAGCATGAAATTGAAATATGGTCCTTGTAAAGGCAAAGAACCCACAGCACACATAAGGTGTTGGCAAGGCAAAGCACTCACGTCATTAGCCAGCTAGTAAGGACAGCTAGGCTAACATTAGAATAACAGCTGTTGCCGAAGTTAGCATACTGTGTAATATAGCTGGTTACTTTTCTGCAAGTAGAAAATGTTAATTCTTCAACTCTGATTCAGAGTGTTTGCTCTCTCAGTCCAGAGGAATATTGAAAAAGTATTTTCCTAGACCCAAAGGACTCGTCCTGAGGTGGCGCAGACAGTCCGGACCAAAGTTAACATTAGAAACGTAAGAAAACACATGTGGGACAAGTGAATTGGTCATTTACAGTAACTTCCACAATTAACAATAAAATGTACCATCAGTTTGAAATGTGCTGTCTGTCAGTATTTTCATCAGCCACTTTATCACAAAAACATTATGAGGGAATCAAGGCTCTTCAATAGTAGGTCCAGAGCAAATACTAAAATAAAACAATCAGCTGTTCAAGCCATATCATAAGTGACAAATATACTGTATATGTGTGGCCAACTCCATAAGACATGTGCCTCTTATTATATGACTGAGCAAAAAGCGCTAGATGGGTTCTAATGTGTGTACTGTATGGTAAGTGTAGACGTTTTTAATACTCTGCATGTGTGTGTATACAAGTGTGAGTATGTGCAGCCGGTATAACTCCTTCCAGTGTGTGTGTGTGTGTGTGTGTGTGTGTGCGCCCCCCCAGGGATTGGCTCACAGGCGTGTGTTAATCCTGTGTGAGAGCATATACTATATGGGGCTTTTCACCCCCTCCTACTCTGGACCTATAGGTGACTGAGGCAATGAGGAACTCAGCGGAAAAATACACTTCCTCAGTGCTGTCACTACACTAGATTTTACAGTCAACTGAGATCATCAACAGCACTGTAACCTTGCAGGTTTAGATGTGCTTGTAACATACTGAAGGTCAGAGTTTTACTCAGACCTTGATGCTCTTAAAGAACAAATCTTTGATGACACCCACGTTTCCTTTCTAAAAGCACTTGCCCTTGATAATATGAGCCTACCAACCTGAATTCTAGGACTAGCTGCTTGCTGCAAACACTGTCAAGTAAAAAGGGCAGCTCAGTAGCCTGAGGGCCAGCCAGTGGTGGTCCTCCACATCCCTGACGTGCAGCCAGGGCCCCATGGAGAACGCAAAATGCCAGAGATCTCAGAACTTAATGGTAAATGGACTGTATTTAATAGCGCATTTTTCCACAGTGTGTTGCACTGGCCAAAGCGCTTTACAGGAGATGATACACCATTCACACACCAATGACAACAGGCTGCCACACAACGGCGCTAGTCAAGCCACCGGGAGCAATTCGGGGTTCAGTGTCTTGCTCAGGGACACTTAGGCATGCGGGGAGACCAGGAGTCAAACCACCAACTTGCTGGTCAGGAGACGACTGCCCTACCTCGTGAGCCACAGCCACCCCAAATAGGAAATAACTAACAGAGAGAGGAAGAACAACGCAACAAGCATTCCTTTCACTGCTGGTATTCCCAGTATCATGTCCCCATAAATATATGGGATTTGTTTGCTGATGAACACGCATGAAAAGGAAAACCGAGCCACTTCCACCTCACACACACACAAACACATGAACACATACAGGCTCTGTCACAGCGATGTGATTAGTGACCACTGTCCACTGCCTCTGAAATCACACTGGAGAGACTCCGGTTCACCAAACACCAAGAATTCCTCCCTGGGACGTCCAGTAAAGTCAAATATATTATTGCACAGCAGCTGGGAGGATTGAGGGAGGAAGTCTGAGGGCAGAGAGAAGGGAGGAAGTACCAAAGGATTATGTGAATTACTTAGAGAACATAGTGTATTTTTTTAAATATTATCTAATCTGAGCATCTTTATCCCACTGAGATTTAGGCACATTTCAATGACAACCTTAGAAAGCATCAAAATAAATATCTTTATGTAGCACTAGATGTCACTAAACAAAGACAAAGAAAAAAATAGAATATAAAAATAATAAATAATGATACAAATGGCTAATAAGAACACTATTTAAAGCCAAGTCTAAAGAAATGGGGATTGAGCTGCTTTTTAAAGGTGCCCACGGATATTAAATCCAACAGGATTTTCAGAGTTCTTGAGTATAGAAGCCACAACTTTGAAGTCTCAGGCCACGTTCACACTGCAGGCTGAAGTGGCTCAAATCCGATCTTTTTGCCCAAATGTGACCCATATCCGATTTCCTTATGAGAGTGTGAACAGCACAAATCCGATTTTTTCAAATTCGGTCCAGGCCACTTTCATATGTGGTCCTAAATCGGATACATATCTGATGTTTTGCAATGCGACTTCAGTCTGAACGGCCATGTCGCATTTCATGCGATTTTTATGTCATTGAAATGCAACAGACGTCACAATTCTGCGCTGGAGGAGGCGAGGCCATAAGCAATATTTGTGCCCTCCTTCTTATTATTTCTTTATTTTGATTGCACATTAACTGGTACATCGCTATCACAATATTGATATCACGAGCCGCATCCATTTTTATTTTCGCAAACACAGTACACTGCGTCTGACGTCACGTCCTCTTCTGCGCATGCGGGTCACCTCAGGGCTGTATACCGTTCACACATGAGACAGATGGCAGTCGCATTTAAATGACAGTGTGAACAACAGTGCAAAAAAATTGGATTTCGGCAAAAAATCCGATCTGAGCATTAAGACCTGCAGTGTGAACGTAGTCTCAGACTCCTTTAGCTTTGAGTCTGGAGAGAGGAACAACTAACAAACCGTGAGCAGATCTAGGAGACCTACTTCTGCTGCAATAGCCCTCTAATGTAGGCAGGGGCCTGACCATGCACGGCCTTGAACGTAATCACAAGAATCTTGAACTTAAGTAGATCTACCTTGGGGACAGACATACATTTTTATAACATTAGTAAAAATGTAAGTGGTATGTGTATGGGAGAGCCAGAAAGAAAACAGAGTAAGAGGAGGCAGAGCACCACTTTTAATAGCTGAGCCAGTGGCATAAACTGCAGCAGTCCTCTACACTAAACAGGATGAAATAAATTAGTCCTGGAGGACTATGCGGGTCAAAATCAGTTCCCTGTCAGTCCATCAAGACAGAGTGCCCAGAGTCAACAGACATAAACCAGAAAGATTCACACAGCGGCTGGAGAAGCACTGTTTGTGGCACATATTGTGCTTTCCCACTGGCGCAGATCTATTTGTTTTTGTGTTGTTTTAAAATTAGGTCACGCTTACTTGTCTCTTGTAACTTGTGCACAGTGGTGTTGCAGCTGTTGTTTAATTCTGCTGTACATATAAATCAAATCAAATCAAATCATCTCTATCTGCACAGTCCTCCTTGTATTTCTTCACTTTCCTTAATCAAGCCCTTTCTTCCATCAGCACATCCCTCTGCTGCTCCCCTCAGTGGCAGCTCAGTTGAAGGGAAACTAAGAGAGCGAACTGAATATTACAGGCAACATAATCAACACACCCACTCACTTTAGCATCCAAGAGACTAATTACT